GGTAACTAAAATACGTGTGTGTGTGTGTGTGTGTGTGTGTGTGTCTGTGTGTGTGTGTGTGTGTTGTGTAGGCGAAAGTGAATGTGGGAAAGGAAACAAGAAGAGACTGTGAGGTATCCCCTAAAACAGACTAAATTTCAAGATTCAGTGTTGGAAAATGTACATACTAGAATACCCTCAGAGGTTTCACTTTTGTGTAAACAAGACAAACTGAAGGGGTCTCACATCCAGAGGTGGGCAGTGGGACTGAGAATAGTTATACAAATAAATGCCAGGGCCAGAGTTATACTGTTTATTCGTCTTGCAAAGCACCCCCATCTCATGATTTTGACACTATTTTCCCTCAAAGACAGAGAAAAATTGAGCCAAATCCCTTTTTTATTAATCCATCTTCTTTCTTCAGCAAGAGAGAATGGCTGAACAGCTTCTTTAAGCTTTCTAGCCAAGAGAGACAGTTGGGATTAGAGTTTGTGGGGAATGAGATCATCCTACTATGCAGTGGAAGCTCTGTGTGGTCTCACATACCTTCACCACATGGACCCCACCCACCCAATAATCTTCTCTCTTCTCTGCTCCTTCCTACTGAAAGGGACAGACAGAGAGATGTAAAGGAAATCAAGTGAGGACACTTTAGAGACCCAGATGAATTAATCCTAACAAACACTTGGACTAATATGAGAACTCAGTATAAACTTGCAAGACTAATAGATCTCTCTTCTACCAATACAAATATTTAGCATATATTTAGAGGCTGAACAGGTCCAGGCAGATTAAGCAAAGCAGTCCACCTGAGGTCAGCAGCACCTTTTGATGGTGGGAACTTCCACACAATCAGCTTCTGCCACTCTTCGCCAAGATGATAGAGTATGTTCTGTTTCTGTATGGTGAGCTCCATGCTGAGAGATTTCAACATTTTTAAATCAAAGCATTTTCTGGATTTTAGTAACTTCAAGCATTTCTGTGCCTGGGAGTGAAATGGAATCATTATTAAACATTCTATCTGGATTCAGGGCAATTAGAATATCCTATATAATAAAAGCCTAACATGCACTGACCACCAGGGGCAAACGCTCTGACCAGTAGGTTAGCTTGCTGCTGAGGACCAGCTATTGGGACAGGGAGAGACGGGCCAGACACGTACTGGAGGCCTCCTGAGATCCCTCCCTGGCCCGGATTGTGCACTGGTGGGGTCCCTCGGACTGGCCTGTCCCTCTCACAATCCAGGACCCCTCGGGGGATGTCGGAGAGCTAGTTTCGGCCCCATCACCCCAGGCCAGGCTGAGGGACCCCACTGGTGCACGAATCCATGCACCGGGCCTCTGGTATTTATATAATGATAAGAAATACATGGAACGAACATGGGCTAAAAATTGGAATAGTATTAATTGTTCATGCTTTATTTTTATTATTTAAATATTTTTACTGATTTCAGAAAGGGAGAGGGAGAGATAGAAACATAAATAATAAGACAATCATTGATCCACTGCCTCCCGCACACCCCTCACTGGGGACCAAGCCCACAACCGGGCATGTGTCCCCGACTGAAATCAAACCTGGGACCCTTCAGTCCACAGGCCGACGCTCTAACCACTGAGTCAAACCAGCTAGGGCTGTTCATGCTTTAGAGCATCGGTTCTCAACCTGTGGGTCACGACCCCTTTGGGGGTTGAACGACCCTTCCACAGGGGTCGCCTAAGAACATCGGAAAACACATATAATTACATATTGTTTTTGTGATTAATCACTATGCTTTAATTATGTTCAATTTGTAACAATGAAATTGGGGGTCACCACAACCTGAGGAACTGTATTAAAGGGTCGCAGCATTAGGAAGGTTGAGAACCACTGCTTAGGAGAAAGTATTTGATACCTCTTCTAGACGCAAAGCAGCAGTGACATACTTCTTCTCTGCTAATGCACTATTATATTCTTCAATAGCTGTAGAAAACTGAAAAGAAAGTAGTTATTAGGTATTTTTATTTTATATACCCATTATTTTAAGTCTGGCTGCTTGTTTTTAAATTATGAAAAATACCATAGAGTCAAGAGATACACATTTAATGAGACCAAGAAAAAAAAATTACTTTCTCCCCACCAAAACACTAAAGTTCAATTTGAAGTTACTGACCTCTTGTAGCTGTTTAAGCAAACTTAGGACTACTGAGTCTTTTTCCAACTGTTGCTTCAAGTCTGTAAATTCAGCAGTTGATACGTGAAGATCCCGGCGGACCTAATTCACACATCAAAGACAAGTATATTTAAAGCTATACTATATCTAATAAATAAAGCAGCCATAGCTAATCAATAAGCCTTATTAGGTGAATATAACTCATGTTGAAATTTAAATGCTAATTAAGATTGGGATGTAGTAGGAAGAGACCTGAAGTGGTCCACTTAGTCCAAACCCTTATCCTCTTCAGGAATGACCATCCCCATGAACAGAGTTTCCTTGTGTCAACATCTATTCTTAGTTTACGCCGTGATCTCATCAGAGCTCACTCACCTAGATTACTAGAAAGGTATCCCCATTGCCAATTCATTCTACAGGAGGGCAGCTCTTAGAAAGAGTTTCTTTTGTTGAGTCAGAATCCACCTCCCATTCTGTCTCACCTTTTCAGGAACTTTGCAATATCAATTATTTTCTTTCCTTGTTATATCTTTCTCTCTCACTATTTCACCCCTCATTCATGAAATACCCTACTAATGCATGGCTCCTCCCATCAGACTTATGTGTTAAAATCTCTCCCATTTTTAAGAAAAAATTTCCTCCACTTCAGCAATCATGCTATTGCTTAGTAGCTACCTTATTTCTTTCCATCCTGTCACAAACAAGTTTCTTGCAAGAGTGACCCATATTCACTGTCCTTACTTTCTCACCTCTCATTCACTCTATAACACATTGATCTGGTTTCTACACCCACCATTCCCCCAAAACTATTCCAAAACAACTGGTGCCAATCAACTCCTTGGTGCTAAATCCAAAGCATGTGTCATCAATTTTAGCTACACATTTATAAGTACAGTTACTTTCCTTCCCTTCGTTCTGAGCCACCATTCCCTGATTTTCCTCCTTTTCTTTAGCCATTCCTTCTCATTTTCTTTTGGGAGCTTCATTCCCCCTCTGGCTACTTCATACATATTGATATTCCTTTCTCCCTAGCCTTCCTACTCTGAACAAGTGGTTCCCAAAATATAAACTTTTTTTTTCCTTATTTCTATCCAGGGTCATTTAGCAATAACTGGAAACATTTTGGCTTGTCACAACTGAAGAAGTTCTGGCATCTAGAGAGTAGAGATCAGGAATACTGCTAAACATCTTACAATGTACAGGATAGCTCCAACAACAAAGAATTATCCAGCCCCAAATATCAATAGTGCCTGTGTTGAGAAACACTATGCTATGTACTCTCTCTGGGCAACCTCATCCATTCCCATGACTTCATATTTCTAAGTGCTGTTATCTCAAGTCCACATCATTTTCCTAACCCTAACATGTACCTGGATGGGGTGATGTGCAAGCTGTTCATTAACACGTTAAGCCCCATGTCAGTCACCGGTGACTGACACTATACTTTCCAACCAGAAGACAAAATAGGCTGGGCACTTAACATGTTAAAATCCATTTCCCACTCTCCCACAGCAGCAACACATGACTACCCAACTAGACTAAATGTTCTAGTGTCCCTCACAGTTGGCTGTGACC